TTTATAATTAAATTCATGAGTCAATTGAAGCTAGACCATCATGAAAAATCTAGAAGCACCGAACAGCTCAGTGGTTTAGAGGTTAAGCGTTTACGAGCAAGACTAATAGGTCCAGGGTTTGAAACTCGTAGGGCGAGATCGTGAGTGCGCACTTCTGAGGAGTTCCATATTACGACGAAACGGTTGTCCAGTGCTTCCAGGTTTTCCATGGTGGTCTAAGTTCAATTGACTCATGAATTCAATTATAAAATAACATTATATTAAAGAGGAAGAATGTATTTGTAAAATCTCAGTGAATGAATTTGAAGTAAATTCAACGTTTCGCTTGGTAATGTGAATTTACTTCAAATTCAAATACTGTTACAAATACATTCTCCCTTTTTAGTGTCTCATATAAATTCGGCGCTTAAATACTGCGAAACTTACTTACTTACTGACTTACTCCTGTTACTTCCAATGGAGCATAGGCCGCAGATCAGCATTCTCCAACCCACTCTGTCCTGGGCCTTCTTTTCTAGTTCCATCCAATTCTTGTTAATTTTTCTCATGTCTATTTCCATTTCCTGGCGTAATGTGCTGTTTGGTCTTCCTCTTTTCCTTTGACTTTGGGGATTCCGAGTGAGGGCTTGCCTTGTGACGTAGCTGGATGCTTCCTTCAATGTGTGTCCTATCCACTTCCAGCGCTTCTTCCTGATTTCTTTCTCCGCTAAAATCTGGTTTGTTCTCTCCCACAGTACGTTGTTGCTAATAGTGTCTGATCAACGGATCCGAAGTATTTTGCGTAGACAACTGTTAATAAACACCTGTATTTTCTGGATGATGGCTTTCGTTGTTCTCCAGGTTTCTGCCCATTACAGTAGAACTGTCTTGACATTTGTATTGAAAATCCTGACCTTGGTGTTGGTTGACAGTTGTTTTGAGTTCCAGATGTTCTTCAGTTGCAGATATGCTGCTCTTGCTTTGCCGATCCGCGCCTTCACATCTGCATCAGATCCACCGTGTTCATCAATGATGCTTCCCAAATATGTAAAGGTTTTTACATACTCCAAATCTTCTCCGTCAATTGTGATTGGATTGGTGCATGCTGTGTTGTATTGGAAAATCTTGCTTTTCCCTTTGTGTATATTGAGACCTACTGCTTCTGAGGCTGCTGCCACACTGTTCGTCTTCTCCTGCATTTGTTGTTGCATGTGCGATAGAAGGGCCAGAGCATCTGCGAAGTATAGATCGTCCAACTGCATCCTAGATGTACACTGTATCCCGTGCTTCCCTTCAGATGTAGAGGTCTTCATGATCCAGTTGATCACCAGAAGAAAGAGAAAGGGTGAGAGTAAGCAACCTTGCCTAACACCGGTCTTCACTTCGAACGACTTTGTCAACTGTCCTCCATGCACGATTTTGCAGTGTAATCCATCATATGAGTTCTGTATGATATTGACTATCTTCTGAGGCACGCCGTAGTGTCGAAGAAGTTTCCATAGTGTTGTTTTGTCCACTCTATCAAATGCCTTTTTGTAGTCAATGAAGTTGATGTAGAGTGATGAATTCCATTCATACAATTGTCTCATGTTTCCTTCTCTTGCAGCCTTTTCCGCCGTCGTTGCTAGATCTTCCACATATCTACGTTTGTCGGTTCTGATGCTCCTCTTCACTTGTTTGTTCACTTCTGTGTATTCAGCTTGTGCGTTGGCTTTTTCTGCTCTTGTTCGACTGGTATTGATTGCTGCCTTCTTGGTCCTCCTTTCTTGAATCTTATTCAGTGTATCAACAGTGATCCATTCCTTGTGATGGTGCTCCTTGTGGCCCAGAACCTCATGGCATGTTGAAGTGATTGCTTCTTTGATCCCCTTCCAGTTGCTCTCCATAGTAGTTCCTTCTCCATTGGGTAGATCATGAAAGGCCTGGAACTTATTGCTGAGGACTATCTTGAATTTGTTGAGTTTGTCAGTATCCTGAAGAAAGTCCGTATTGAACTTTTGTGATGTTGTCCGCCCCATTGTCCAGTGCTTCTTGAGTTTCAATTTGATCGTGGCGACCAGCAAGTGATGGTCTGATGCTATATCAGCTCCTCTCTTGGTTCTCACGTCCTCTATAGTCCTCCTGAACGTTTTTTTGATGCAAATATGGTCGAGTTGGTTTTGTGTAGAGTGATCCGGTGAAGTCCATGTGATTTTGTGAATGCGCTTATGTGGGAATATGGTGCCGCCTATGACCAGTTTATTGAAGGCACATAGGTTGGCAAATCTCTCACCATTTTCGTTCCTTTCTCCCAGTCCGTGTAGTCCCATGGTGTCTTCATATCCAGTGTTGTCCGTTCCAATGTTGGCATTTAAATCTCCCATCAGAATGGTCAAGTCCTTTGTTGGGCACTTCTCGATGATTGACTGCAGCCTATTGTAGAATTGATCTTTAGCGTCTTCATTGTAGTCGTCGGTAGGCACATAGCATTGGATGATGTTCATTGAAATGCCCTCTTTCTTTGTTTTGAAGGAGGCTTTGGTGATTCTTGGTCCATGAGATTCCCATTCTGTAAGTGCATTTTGTGCTTGTTTGGACAGCATCAATGCAACTCCTTGTGTATGTGGAGCATTTACTTCTTCATGACCAGAGTATAACAGGAGCTCTCCTGAAGTTAGTTGTTGTTGTACAACTTGCGTTCAATGTGTTTCACTTATCACAAGCACCTCTAGGTTGTATCTTCTCATTTCTGCAGCAGTTTGGAAGGCTCTCCCGGTGTCCCACATTGTAAGAACATTCCATGTACCTATAAAAATTGTTGCTCTGGTTGTCGGAAGGGGCATCGGCTCCGTGACTTCCGAAGGAACTCGGCTTTCATCATGAGGCATCATAATTCTTCTAAATGAAGACCTCCTGATTCCCAGCGCAGAGTTTAAAAGGTTTGGATAACTTTTTCTGGTTATCGTTTTTTTAGCGAGTTAGTTTTCTACGGGATGAGGACGCTAACCTCATGCCCAACCCCCCTCCTTTATCCGGGCTTGGGACCGGCAATAGCCCCCGGAGGGACTCCAGGCGGAGTTACTGTGAAACTATTCGATCAAATTTACAGGAAAGTTCTTATATATTATTTTGTATTAACAATATATGTTGTCAAAATGAATGAAATCTCAATAATTTACTTTTTCCATTATTTCTTGTTTTTTATATATATGAAAAACAAATAAGAACTTTCGTCTAAATTTGATCGAATAGTTTCACAGTATTTGAGCTTCGAGATAATGGGAGACATTAAAGAGGAAGAAAGTATTTGTAAAATCTCAGTGAACGAATTTGAAGTGAAACCGACGTTTCGCCTGGCAATCTGGTCCGATAATTTTGGTGTTTGATTATATTTCCTTGAAAGAGATTGGTCCAGATTGCCAGGCGAAACGTTAGATTTAATTCAAATTCATTCGCTGAGATTTTACAAATACATTCTTTCTCTGAAGAGATGTATGTTGGAATAATAATAGAAATTTTTATTGAATGATTTCTTTTTTGTTAATAAACAGTAAATATGAATTGATTTTTTTCTTATTTATTATTATTAGCTTTATTCAATATTATATATTTGGTACAATATAGAATTCTCAGTACAAAGTATTTCAGCGAGTTTCAGTTTCTTATTTGTTGATCGATATTGACGATTAAGATTGTGTGATTACCAGTTACATATTAGCATTTCAGAAGTCGACCTCTGAATAATATTCATTCTTTTCAATGTATATAACCAGCAATCACGATGTCTCCGATTGTACAGTTTTGTAAATTGTATGGCGAAACGTCGTAAACCTTTTACAAACGCACCTCAATAGGTTATGCAAATATTTGGTATAATGATCTGTTATAACAAACAAGGAAACAGATGGCTTGTTGAAATATCTAGATGGCAGGAACAGGTAGCCCAGATATTTAAGCAGGCCACCGGTGCTTAATCCATAGAATATTAGAATTTAAGGTTAATTGTTCCATAAAAATTTCTTGATGTAGAACTCAGTCACTTGTTAGAATCCAGTTGAAATGATTAGTAAATCTTATCTATATCATTCATTTTATTCACTTTATCTAACTCATATTAATATATGTTCATTTTTGAAGTGTTAGAGTATTTAATGAAATTTATAACGTGTGAAGTTTTATTTAACCCTTAGAAGTATCTCTTCCATAAGTGTTTCCATATGGAATTCAAATCATATTTTACAACAATGAATTAAGGAATCTTCTAAAAGTGTTTAGACAGTTTTGTTTACCTGTAGTTTTGAAAATCATTTTTATTTCTAGTTTAATTGTAAAGTTATCTGATAATGATTTTTATCGTAACCAAGCTCCTATGTAACTAAATCTCTTTCGCTTGAGCATATTAGCTTTTGAACAATCAAGAAAATTGTGGTGGCGAATTTTACGAACTGAATTCAATTTGTGATGGTATACAAAGTTTTCAAAACTTATCATACTTGATAGTCATATGTATTTTGTTTCATCTGATAAGCTCATTTGTAGGGTTATTTGGAAGTAGTGTTAATAAACACATTGCGATATTTACTATATTATTGATTTCCTTTTTAGCTAAGAGGAAATTAAATTTTACATCAATGCTCTTAGATCTCGGTTTGTGGTAAAATCACCTTGCTATTAGTCAAATCTATACAAACTCATATTCGGAACAAGAAACCCATAAATGAAAACTTCAAAAACTTTACATCGATGACGTGACTTTGGAAATATTCTGGGTTGAATGTAAAGATAGCTGTTTGTCCATTTCATTTGTCATAATAAGATTTCCATCCACTATCTTAATAGTGGAATAGTTGCCACAGAAGTCAATATCTCATGGTCCAATTTGATTTTAAGCTAAGATCATACTAAACAGTTACTTACATTATTTTAAGATGACAGCAACATTTTTCGTTCCTATAATCTATTCCATGAATGAGATTTTTATTTTTATTTTCTAAAATTTTTGACTACATTAATATTCAATTAATTCTCTTTTATGTATACAGTCATCTGTGAGTCGCAACCAAACGGGATTAAGTGGATTATCTAATGCCACGTCTACTGCAGTTATCCCAACTTCCATAACTGCTGAAGCAGTTACTATAACTGGCATTCCCACTGTAACCGATTCAAGCGAAAGCAGTTCAATAGAATCATATTCTGATTCACAAGTTAATTCTCATTCAAATTTGGCTCAAGTTTATATGAACCAGTCTAACTTTTACAACATAAATTCTCATGATGGTAATAATACATGCTCAACTATTATTAACAATACTAATACTACTTCCACTACAACCACGTCTATGAGTAGTAAAATCCATACAAATGATATTGACAATGATAGTGCTGTAATTAATGAAGATTCTGATAAATCAGTGAATTTCCATACAAATCGGTTTGATTATTCTCCTCAATCATTATATACGAATTCTTATTATAATCAATATTTTTCACAATATATACGAGATAACATTCCTTTGAATAGTATGTTACCAAATATGAATGACACTCTAAACTATACAGAATCATTAAACCATCACAATATTAGTAGTAATCATACAAATAGGAATTATGAATATTCTAATCCTTGTGGATTTTATTCAAATTTTTTCTTAAATCCAAATAATAATAATATACATTCTGATGATATAATTAGTAATTGTTCTACATCTTCGACAAAAATGAGTTCAACAAATTCGTTACCTTATCATCATCACCAAAATCAACATCATCATCTCCCTTCTCATCATCAGAATACTCAGCAGCAGCAGCATCAGCATCGACAGTATAACCAATTGCGTAATCATTATCATTCATTACTTAATGATGCAATAAGTAAGGATAACTGTAATGATTCCAATTCCGTACATTCTATGCCAAATTGTTCATCATCAACAATGAATTCTACAATTCAACCGCCTAATTTTATTGATCCTTATATCGATGTTTCTGATGATGTACAGTCACGTTCACATGAAACAACTCATCTACAACATGAAACTAATCAATTAGAGCATAGTCCAAACTCAATACCATATTTACAACATGGATTACATTCTCATTATCCAGTACTTTCTAATAGTTCGTCAATTTCAATAGCATCCACATCGCCATCATCATCATTATCTACATCATCATTACAATATCACAATCTTTATCAGTTACAACATTTTCCATCAAATCATACACATTCATCTTTATTACATAATTCACAATATAGAGGATATCGTAATAATTGTATACCACCAAGACCAGCATCAAGAATTCGACATACAAAAGCATCTTCATTGAACGGTTCAACCCGTAGTGATAGTTCATTAAATGATGATATACAAGCAGATAGAATTGGGATTAAATCAAATGAATTAGGAGTAGATGAAACTGGTAAGTGTTTATTTATAAGATCAGTTTAAGTAATTCTATAAGTTTATAAATGAAATTAATTGTTGATTCATATCAAAAGGGATTTTGTGAATATTACAATAATTTCAATAGTTGAGATCATGAGTCATTTGAAGCTAGACCACCGTGGAAAACCTGGAAGCACTGGATGGCTGATTCGGTCAATTGTTGGACTCATTAGGAAAGCGTATCCACGATCCCACCTCGTGAAAATTGAACCCAGGATCAATCGCTCTCGCGCTGATGACAATGGTGGGTGTGTCGCTCACTTTCGTGGATTGGTTGAAGTTAGGCATTAACACCGTTGGATGCCGGCTCAGTGGCCTAGAGGTTAAGCGCTTGCGCTCAAGACTGATAGGTCATGGGTTCGAATATCTCGAGGCGGGACCGTGGACGTGAACTGCTGAGGAGTCAAGCAATAGAACGAAACAGCCGTCCAGTGCTTCCAGGTTTTCTATGATGGTCTATCTTCAATTAACTCATGATCTCAACCATTGAAATTAATAGTTTTCATATTATTGATAAAATTAAAATTACAATTTTATTTAAATGAAAAAAATATTTTTTTCTCATAGTGATTAATTCAAATATAAAAAAATTTCCTGTTCTCCCTAATCATTTATCAGTTATCAGTGCTGTTTTGAATATCGGTGTGAATTGACAAATTAATAAAAATAAAATATTTCTGTTCTAAACGATAAGCATTCAATAAATGGTTATATATTACAAAATGGTTGTATTAATTGATTGGTTACAGACTCTATCGATTTCTAAAGACTTGTAGAGTAATTTATAACCTTTGATTCTGTATCAATATCAGTAGTAGTAGTAGTAGTATAGGCATTTATAGTGTGAATAACAGTGTAAGTAATACTATTGCTACTTGTAGTAATAATAACTTCGTTCTGCTGAGGAGTGTTTACTAATATGAAATCTATTACTAGGATCTCTTTCCAATCAGCTTTCAATGATTTAACATTTTTTCAATTCCTTTCAATCCTTTCTTTTTAATTTTTCCTATATCTGTAAATAGAAATTTGTACTTTGATGAAATATCCATTCAATAATTTTCTATCAATTCTTAAACTTCATTTTCAGATTAAAGATGAATTCTTCTGCATAAATGATGTCTGAATATCAGTTTAATTTTATTCTGTGTGTAATGAAAGGGTGACAATTATAAAATCTCAGTGGGTTTTTTTCTTCAAAATGGTTGAGAAACTTTCTTTTTATGAATGAGTAAATTCTAAATAAATATTTATAAGTAAATCTAATGATTCTCTGGAAAGTTTTGTATACTTTCTATTCAACTTTCATTATGAATTAATTTCAATTGAAAAGTCGTTTGAAACTAAATAGACATATATATGACGGGTTAACTTTGATTGAGGACTCTTTAACTGGTTACTTGGAATAATATGGAACGCAGAAATGCACTAATACAGTTGTAATAATTCAATTCAAGATAACCTATAGGTTTTATGCTATCAACTCCTTCATAAGTTCTCGGAATAAGTAAATAATTTAGTTTGTACATAAATAGATTTATGTAAAAAATATTCGTTTAAAACTTTACGGGGGATATTAACTTTTCATTTTGTTTTGTAAAATAAGAAGAATTAAGTGTTTTTAACTTAGGTATAGATTATCATCTCACTAATCATTGAAAGATTGACTTGTATATTAACTGAATATCAAATTTGTATGCTTTTCAAACACCTACATGAAGCAAAATACGTCGTTCTTGTTCAAATAGTTTTGATTACCCTATAGTAACATACAGTTAGTATTCGTTTTATAATTAATTTTAAAACACTATTCTAAACGGTGGATTAGCAATTACTTTAAAGTAATATTTCATTAAAAACTGATAATAATCAAGGTATTTGATCTCATCAACACTTATCGATCACACTATGCTAATTGGTGTCAAAACACTTTCGAACTTCGTAATTATGCATAAATGAGACTATAAAAATAATAGTCTTCATTTTATCAAGTAAAATATTTGACATTTGAACACTACAATGAAAAGGATTTAATATTGAACTTTTTCTGAAGTATTACTTTTCTTCTATAAGGCACTTAAAATTAAAACCGATCATAGAGTAGTTATTAATCAAGTTATATTAACCAAGACTTTGATTATAGCAAAAACCTCTATTTTCTGAAATGATAGTATATTTAATAATGTTTTATTGTTTTATCGAATAACCAACTGAAATGGAATAATAATCTTTTGAAAACTAGTATCCAGTCACTGTAAAACATACTTGACGATTATAATGAAATATACTAGGTCTGATTCACAATATGAATATCAACAATGAGATCCAATTACATCGAATTGATGAGTTGCAAATATGATAAAACGAGCTTTCAGTTTTGTAAAGATGATAATAATCCATCTAACTTAAATTAATATTAACTTAGCTACTTGGTTATAAACTTTATATTAATTAAATGAAAATATACTTCAGAAAAGAACAAATTGTAAAGAATTCGCGTGTTTTTCTTCTACAACTTTATTCCAAAAATTAGTTTTTTTTATATTATTTCATCAAAAAAACAAATTACAGTTTTTTTCCGAAAAAACTTTTTTTCTTTTTTTGGTTGAAACTTTGCTATTTTTTCTTTTGGAAAAAAAATTTCAAATAAATGTCAAAATATTTTTGTATATTCAACAAACGTTTTTTTCTGCCCCCCCCCAAAAAAATGTGAGTCAGTTAACTTTTATTTCAAATGTATTAAGGAAGAGAAATAGAGAAGTGAGCAACTGTACTATTTATCTATATATTCAGCAACTATTCGTATGTTTCCTTCGACAACAAAAAAATATTTTTCATCATGGAAAAAGTGCACAACAATAAAAAAAAGAAGAAGCAACACAATACAAAGTGATAAAATGAAATGACAAGTGATGTTTTGTTTTAAAAAAAATAAATAAAATAATAATCATAATAAATTTTGCAAAATCTCTCTTGTTTATTTCATTTTATTTTGCATATGTTTATAAAAGAGATAGAATAAAAAGAAAGTTTGTATTTTGATTGAACATGAAAGTGGATGAATTATAGAATGGAGACTAGGCAGATTATTATTATTATTCTTTGTTTCAATATATTTTGTGACTAGCAGTATATATATATATATAAATATGTTTCAGCTGACATTGTTGACTAAGAGAAAAACAAACACTACACATACTGACATTCCGTTCATCAAACCGCTCATCCTCTGACTAGTCTCTACTTTTGCTTCTAAAGAGAAGACTATATATATATATATATATATATATATATATATATATATATATATATATATATATATATATATATATATATATATATATATATATATATATATATATAGTGAGACAGTGAATAGATAACTTAAGGGTAAAGCTTAGAAAAAATACTGACGACAACAGCATGAAAATCTTTCTCATTGTACATTGGTTATTTTAATTTTTTTTCTAAAATTGAAATCATAATTTTACTTTCGTGTATGAATTTATAGTAGTACAGATATTAGAAAAACAACTGGAAAGTGTTTTTTTTTAAAAACTGAAAGTTGCATAGTATTTGTACTAATGTTTCATTTTAAAGCTTAATATTCTTTTCGACAAAAAAAAGAAATAAACTACGTCAGAAATTATTTAGTCTGTGATACAGGAGGGTGAAAATATTATTTTGCTTGCATTTGTTATCTATTTCAAACAGTTTTTCGTATTTAAACTAAATAAATTTACCTACAATGTGATATATATACAGTCAACATCAAACCCTGGATTAAGTGATGAGTTGGCATGCAGTATATATGATAACTGGTCACAATTTAAGAATTTTAATAGCCGAATAATCTACTGTGAGCGGACACTTTACTCTCATTAATTTTTACTCAATAGCTATTCAACACATAAGTAATAATTCAATGACATTATTAATTAACTGTCCTTATTCTTGCTCAATATTCTCTTTACAACATGATAGTTTTAAGTTAGGGATAAAATGTTAACATGTTTAATTTCTAACATGGTTTTGAATATGTTAGAAGAACCACTGAAAATCAAGGGGGCCCTAAATAGATTATAAATTTTCCCAGCATTACATATTCATGACTTTGTAAGGAATCGAATCAGTAGACTCAGATATCAGCCACGAGTATTATATCACTCAACTATTATATTCTTATTTTACAGATTTATTTGACTTGTAACAGAGTACTGACGTTATTAATGAGTTATTATATTACTATCATCTTGATTCGTTTCACTAGTAATAACTAAATAAATTAAAAAAAGATCATTTTTATCAATTTAAGTTTCAAAGTTTATTATAACAAGATTTAATTTGTAATGAAAAGTATTTTCAACAAAATATCTTAATTATCTTATATAATGATATAAATAGTTGAATTCTGTATATCTACTCCACAGAAAACTTTGATTTACCGTTGTCGTTGTTTGTTCTTTAAAGGTTTTCTTTACAAATATATGTAGCATATCATTTTGTTCATATTCGACATGAAGGGAAAAGAAAACACATTCCCCAGTCAATATGTGTACGTGTGTTTGTGTTTGTAATCGTTATCGAGAAACAAACTGAATATTTCATTATACTAATTAGATTATAAAATATTTCAATAGATCATTTTCGTTAGTCATGCAAAACTTCCTGTAAAAGTAAAAACAAAACGTAGAAAGGAACTTGAAAATAGAAGTATAAGAATTAAATTTGAAAAGAAAAAGTAAAAAAACACAACTGGAAAAGAATAAATCCTGTCTAAACCAATACATACACACATATACATAGAATAGATGAGAGAAATCTATTTGTGCATGTCTATGTGTAATTGAAAGACCTTTCATTACACATGCACCTGAATACTTAGTCTCTATTATCATTTAAATAAGTAGATAATTCCATTTTGTTTTATTAAATTCAAATAAATCTTCATTATCCTAATTGGGTCCGTAGTTC